AGTGGATGGATGGATGGATGGATGGATGGATGGATGGAAGCATGGATAGCAGCAGAGATGAATGAGTACTCAAGGCTATATACATATTTATGCATGGATGAATGGAAGGTAAATATGGATGTGTGTCTAAAAGATAGGTTGGTGAAATAGGTGTGTGGGTGGATATATTATGGAGATATGGATATATGAATTAATGAGTAGATGGGTGGGCAGGTGGGTGAGTAGATGTAAGGATGGTATTGGATGAATAAGTGGTGTGGGTGTAGAAAGGTGTATATATGGGAACATGTATGGACGGATGAATAAATGAATGGATAGAGGAATGATGACTATGTAAGTTAAAGTTTGGCTGAATTAGTGAATGAAAGGAAAAAGAAAAGGATAAATGAGCTTGTGAAAGAAGTATAGCACCTCTAGGGGCTGGAGTGATAGCAGAGGGTTAGAGCGTTTGCTTGGCATACAGCTGACCCGGGTTCCATTCCCAGCATCCCATATAGTCCTCCAAGCACTGCCAGGAGTAATTCCTGAGTGCATGAGTCAGGAGTAACCCCTGTGCATCTCCAGGTGTGACCCAAAAAGAAAAAAAAAGAAGAAACTTCTGTAGTCTCCCAGACTCAGCAAATAAAAAAACAAGATGCCAGCTTTCTGGGTATTCACATTCACCTTGAGTGGGTCTTGCCTGTGTGTGGCCCCAAAACCAACGAGGGTCCTACAAAGTCTCCGAATCCAGAAGTCTGACTCCTGAGCAATATTTAGATGTTTTCTAGGAAATCATGGTCAGCTCCACAGATGTTGGCATAGACACCCACCATGGAAGTGACTAGTCCCTGTCTATATTTTCATAGTCTTCACAGCTTCAGATTTTAGAGGTGTTAGATCCAAAGCAGGAGGTTTCGTTTGTTTGTTTGCCCTGGCTGGCTGCTATGTTAGCCAAGTCTTTTAACTTTTCCAAGCTTCCGGCTCCTTCAAATTGAAATCTTAGGGCCATGCTGTAAACTCAGTCTTTGTGAGAGCAAAATGGACAAATCAGAGAAGGGGAACTCAAGTCCTGTGTAAATATCTTTCCAAGGGTACTTCTCTGTGCCAAGTGGTTTCACACTTTGTAAATCACAACAGCAATTTAGAGTTTATGTGCCTTATTGCACAGATGATTCAGACTCTACGGATTTATCCTTCTCAAGGGGCATCTGATCCCAAGAAGTTTGCCTTCTCAAGGAATACTAATGAGATGTTAAAGAAGGAAGAGCAAAGGTGGGTGACTGGGGTACATCACATACAGATGTTTCCTGGATGTCCCTTGACCTGAACTAGAATCTGGGAGAGGGAGGACTAGGGATTGGCATGAAGGGTATACATGGCCTGGGAGGGACTGCATATTCCCTCCATCTTTCCTAAGGTGGTAGCACTCTTTTCTCTGGTGGCATCTTGAATATAAGAATGATAAAGATGTCATACTTGCCTCGGATGATTTTGTTTTACTACTTTGGTACCAAATCATTCGTTACAAAAGAGAATTGCAGTCAAACAATATCAAAATACAAACAAAGTTCTTTAGTTGGACAGTTCTTTTGAACCCTAGGTTGTACATCCACGCCTGGTTTTTTACTATATCCACAACTATATACCATATTTTAAATATATACTTTTTTATATTGCATGCTATATTTTCAATATATACTTACTTGGGCCGGAGCGATAGTACAGTGGGTAGGGCATTTGCCTTTCATGCAGTTGATCCAGGTTCTATTCCCAGTATCTCATATGGTCCCCTGAGCACCACCAGAGGTAATTCCTGAGTGCAGAGCCAGGAGTAACCCCTGTGCATCACCAGGTGTGACCCCAAAAGCGAATATAGATATGTATATATATATATATATATATATATATATATTTTATTTCTAAAACCAAGTAATATAAATCAGAGGGAGAAGGAATTTGCCTTGCACCTGACAGATCCTGGTTGATCCCTGGCACCCCCCAGCAGCTAGAGGAGTGAGCACAGAGTCAGGAGTAAGCCTTGAGCACCACTTCATGTGGGCTCCCAAAATAAACACAAAAAACAATAATCAAAACTAATTCCTGAGGGGCTGGGTGTTTGCCTTGCGTGCAGCCAACCCGGGTTCGATTCCCAGCATTCCATATGGTCCTGAGTGCAGAGCCAGGAGTAACCCCTGTGCATCGCTGGGTGTGACCCAAAAAGCAAAAATAAAAACCAAAACCAAAACCAAAAAAAAACCCCTGATTTCTGAAATATGTTAAATTCTGAACAATATCTAAATATCTTATTTAATATATTATACTTATTCTAACCACTTAAAATATACACATAAATTCATATATTTATGATAATGTCTTCAGATTAACACCCAAAGCCAAACTTCTTTTTATACATTGGAAGATTATTGAGCTCTATAAGTGCTCACTAAGCCTTCAACCTCTGTTGAGGAACTTCCTGGAAAGCTCAACCACTGAACTCTGAAGATGTGAAGAACCTGGGCTGGGTGGAGAGCCATGGGCAAATCCTACAGTGGGCATCAGGGCCCTAAAGGTAATGACACACTATTGGATCATGAGGATGAATCTGCCATCTAACTCACCAGTCAGACCCTGCTCTCTCCTACCATGAACTCCTAAGAATTGGGTGTCCCTGAGGAGCAGCAACTCCAAGAACAGTGTGACGGGGATCTAGAATACCTTACGAGGAGGAAGCATTGCATTGGCCTTGGTGAAAATAGGGGGCCCTGCCAGAAAGGTGGGGTCCTTTAAGCAGAATAAGTAGCAAAACCAGAGAACAGAAGGAGAAAAGGAGGTTGACTCTGCAGCTCTAAATCTGAAAGATGTCTCTGTGCCTGACCATAGAGTTCAGTTTGGGCTTGTGTAGAGTTTAAAAATTAGCCTCCTGGGGTTGGAAAGAACATGAAGAGGTTGAGGTGCCTGCCTTGGTTGTGGCTGGTAGTGACCCTTGTTTTATTCCCATAACTGCCCCTGCACCACCTTTGGACTCAGATGCCACCAGGAGTGATTTTCTGATCTTGAGTATCTCTGGATGTGACCCAGTCTCCTGACCCACCCCCAAATTAAATAGCTTCCCAACTGAAAGTTGTGCTGTGTTCTGGGGGGTGTGGTGGAGTGGTCAGTGGCTTCTTTTAACTTCTGTATATCAAATACTTAGATTCTCCTGGCACATAGAAAGTGCTCGTAAGTATATAAATGAAGTGTTTGTTACTGACGGGTCCCACAGTGGGACCTGTCCTGAGACTATTTCAATGAGATGCATGACCAGGCAGGAGCCCCACCCCCACTCCTTTCCCTCTGCCCCAGTCCCTGGGGGACCCCTCTCAGTGGCTCTGCTGGCTGAGCGCTCCTCAGCCAGGGGCAGCACCAGATTGTATTGCAAAAAAGCAATTAGAAGCTCTGTCTTTTGTTTTGACCAGTCTTTGGGGCGAGGCTCTGTTTGATTCCTACCTGGACTCAGGCATCTCGGGGCGCCCCTGCGTCTTGACCTCTGCGTTTCCAGCGGGGCCTGGCAGGTTTACCTGGATGCCCAAGGTTTGAGTTTGAGGTTCACCAGGACCGAGAGGGAGAAAGGGGTTGGCAGACTTTACCACTGGAGGGCGCCCGAACTCAGCTGCCGCAATCCGCCAAGTTCGCAGGCAGCCAGGGCCCATCAGGACCTCCCAAGAGAAGATTGAAGCCAGGGAAGGTGTTCTCCAGCTGGATTGTTAGATCTTTCAGGGCGGGGACCAAGTTAGTGGATTTCCCGGCTTCAGGAGTAGTTCTTAAAAGTGGACTAGTACTGGGCTGAATGGATAGGAGGATAGTTCAGTCTCATCTAATTGGACACAAAAGTAGTTTTGGAAAAAGAGGCAAGACGTTTATCTACACTGTCAAAATTCCTATAATCTGAATGCTTTGGGATAACCATTTGCCAGCTGCTCCCAGTCCTCTACTGGAGATGCAGAGCTCCCCTATTCCCCCCTCAGCCAGGACTCTAGGACCCCTAGATGACAGACATTTGTCTATTCTTATCAGCTCCTTGGACGCTTGTAGGAACAGGACTTGTTCCACTGCCTGGCAGTGCCAGAAAACCTGTAGTCACTAGATTATTCTACCCACCACCCATGCTCTCTTGCTCCAGTGATGTAGGGGTCTAGTCATCTAGGGGTCCTTTTGGGGGGTTGTGGCAGGAGGCCTGGACGCCTTCCCTGGAGTGATAATTGCTTGAAAGGATTCCCTGGGTCAGAGGGAGCCAGGATCACCTTCCTGGGGGAGGGTAACAGGGAAAGGGGCTCGCTTTTCATCGCTTTGTGTCTCTAGGGCATTCCTGAGAGGAAGAACATATTGAGGTTAAGGACAAATTCTTCTCACTTCCAGTTATTGAACACTGATGAAGTGTCCCTGGTCTACAGGGCCAGCAGGAGAAGGTGGGTGGCGGGAGGCCCTGGAGCCTCAGTCAGTGCTACTGGAATTGCACCGCGAGGGATGTGGGGAATGCGATGAGCACATTTCACAGTCCCCAGAACAGAGGCACAAAGAACCTTTGAGGTTGACTTAGTGTCCCGGTAGAGAGCCGGTTTCACAGGTGAGAAAAGAGCGGTTCAAAGACCAACAGGTCTCTTCTTTAGCCCGCGCTCTCAAGTCTAGAGTTTGGTGAGCCTGGGTTTGCGACCAGCTGTGCGTCTATGCTCGAAAATCGGGACACTTGGGGGTGCTGCGGGTCCCTCGAGCTCTTACGGCCGAGACCAGTATATCTCATGGGTTTTTCCTTGGTTCGCGTCTAACTGCAGCCTATGGGAACTCAATTTGTTCATCTGCACACTGGGAACCACAGCCGCCCCCGTCCAATCCCGCCCTGCGGGGCGTTGGGTTCCTCGCTGCAGGTTGGACCTACCGAGCAGGGTTCGGGGTGGGGAGGAAAGCTGCAAAAGCGGCTGGTGCAGCGACAGGGACCCGACTCCTGGCCCGCCCCTGGCCCCTCGAGGAGCCCCGCCCCGGCCCGCCCCGCCCCGCGCGGCTCTCGCCTCTAAAGTGGCCGGCGCGCGCCTCCCGCCGCCGCACTTTCACTCTCCACCGCCGCGTCCCCTGCGCCCCTGGCCTCGGTGCAGCCCCAACGCCCGCCCGTGCCATGGATGCCAAGGTCGTCGCCGTGCTGGCCCTCGTGCTGGCTGCGCTCTGTCTCAGCGACGGTGAGTGAGCTCGGCCGCGAAGGAGCGTGCTGGGCTTGGGGGCTCCCGGCTCTGCGCGCCCGCTGCCCCCCGGCGCGCACCGAGCCCCCGCCCCCGACCCCCAACTGGCACGCTGCGCTTGGCGTTGAAGTGGGAGGCTGCCCACTTCGCAGGGTGCACTGCCTTGGGGTGTTGCGTTCCAAGTTCCACCGGCAGCGCCCGCCGTGCATGGGCTCTGCAGCCGGCTGCACCATCCTTACCCCAAAAGGGGACTCCCCGGGATCGGGAGCGGACAGCCCCGACGGGGCCGGCTGGATTAGCCCGGTGAGAGCGAGTCCAGGGTACATTCTGAGCCGGCGCGGCGAGGCGCGGGGTGCGGAGCAGAATGTGGGGACCCCGGGCCGCTGTACCCTTGCCTGCGCTCCCTGCAAGGATTGCCAGGTCGAGCCTGGTTCAGAGACCCCGCTCGGCAGGGTGTTGGGGCAGGGACCGGGACTCAGGTGGGAGAGGAGGTAGCGCGGGTCGCGGTGGTGCCGCTAGGAGACTCTCGGTCCACACCTACAGGGCGTTATCTCTATTTCCTCCTTCCCTGGTCCCCGACCAAAGTTTACTGAGCAGTTGTCGGGCTTGCACAGCCAACCCCACCGCGCGCTTTTGCACAGCGCGGCGTCTGTCCGCAGCGACGCGGTGAACCCTGGCGCGGTTCCAGTCATTGCACGCCAGCTTTCTGGTAACTCTAGAAAGGACCGGGGCGGGGGGGTTTACAAGCTTGCCGTGCTTCTTCCCAGCCCCCCCAACACACCTGCAAACTTGCGTCTTTATAACTGGCCAAGCGGGCAGCTAAGCTAGCCAGCGCGCTTCTCCGGAAAAGGCGCTGCAGCAAAGTTCAATCACCAAGGTCTTAGGCCACTGGGAAAACGGGTGTCCAGTTTCACTGGGAAAGGGAGAGAGCTTTTTTCCGCCCTTCTCTCTATCCTCTTTCTTTTGAAGCACGAGAGAAATCTCTCTGTCTTGTCACGGGACACCCCTGCTGCAAACCAAAATAAACTATCGTCTCTGAACACGCAAAGTAAACCCGTGTTGATCGAGCAGCAAGGCGCTTTTGGGCTTCTAAATTTCCAGCAATCCGTGTGAAGGGTTGAAGGACGCTCGGAACTCTGCATGCAGCCACGATCTGTGCAGAGCCCCAACATCGGAGCGTCAGGCTAAATTCCAGCCCCAGACCAGCTGCTGTGTCCTTCTTTGTCCAGGTCTGAAAGTTGGTAGGGTTAAGGTGAAGGAGCATAAGTGGGCTCCAAAAAGGAGGACCAGCAGGGGGTTCCAGGCTGACTCCAGAAAGCATTCTTGAGAGCTGTGGTTCCTTAGAACTGCAAATAACAATCAAAGGCAATCTCTTGTTTTCTCAAATGCTGCCTGTAAAAGTGTCCTAGCCTCTGTGTTCACTTCCGCAACCAGGTTATGACTGTGGTTTGGGCAATTAATAGTGGCAGATTTGGGGGAGAGTGTTTTGTGTACTCCTCAGGGGAAATGAGGCTGATCCTAGCTGCTCCCCCCTCCCAGAGAGTTGCAAACAAAATTGGCCTGAAGGAGCACTGAAAAGAGTATGGATCTCATCCACAAAATCCCCACCGCGAGAAGGCTAGATGTCTTGCCCCTCTGACTTGCCCTCTTGGCAGCCTAGTGGATGGGCCGAGTCGAGGCTGGCTTGCTTCTCATTACATGCACAGATCTCAGTGTGCTTCTGGATCTTCAGGAGCCTGTGTGTCCTCTCGTCCCATCCTCTTTCCCTAAGCTTCCAAAACATCCTGATTCAGGCCGAAGCTCCAGCTTCAGCTCCTGCTCGCTCTCCACTAGCTGACCACAGCCAAGCAGCTGGGCTCCTGGGTGCCTTGGATTTTTCAGGGCTTAAGCCTATGAAGTGTGTTGGTTGGAGGGGGGCCCCCGTTTCTGTTTGTTTCAAAGGGAGATTTCCTGAGAATGACTCTGAAACACTTCCAAGTTCACCAGGTCCCAACTCCATGTAACATCTGGGCCGATCAGGCCTCTTGCCTGTACACGGCCTCACATCCAAGTTATAAACTTTCATAATACTTGCAGAAAGCTAACGGAAAGGGCTCCCGGCCCATGTAGCACCAGGTGCTCTTGATAAGAGCATTTGGGGAGCTGTCACTTTTTAAAACCATGAAGTCACCCATTTGAAAGGCCAGCAACTGGGTTTCCAATCAAGAATAGATAGGAACTGTCTGAAAGAAATGAATTATCCCAGAAGGAATAGATCGAAGGGGGGGGGGGGGGGCAGGGAGAGAAAGTCAGTTCTTTGAGCTCAAAATGGGTTCTGATTTCCAATCAATTCTCTCCTGATTGATTATTGGAGCCTGAACAGCTTCTCGGGCTCAATGGGGAGCAGCAGTCCCCACCAGCCACCCCTCTGACATTCACACAGTCCCCTCTGGCTGGCTGCTGTTCTGTCTTGGGTTTGAGACCTATCCTGGATCTCCTCAGTGGTTCCACCTCTCCAGTCTGCTCAAGTCAGGATAATTCCAAAAAAAAGTTCCAGGCAGGATTGCCTCTTCCATGCTCCCTGCCTAAAGGGGAGACTGTCCCTCCCATTACCCAGGTCCCTGGTGATCTGCAAAGTGCAGACTTTTCTCATTTGCAGCTGTGCTGAAGCTAGTCCTTAGCAGCAGCTTGCTGGAGAGGTCAGGGATCAAAGGGAAAAGGTGCTCCCTGGAGCTCTCTCTTCAGTGCCCAGCCAAGACAGCCAGCACCTTGAAATCTAGCCTTTCCCTTCCTTCTTTACAGGGTGCTGAGTTTGCTCACTGGAAATTAAATGGTCAGACTGCACCATCTCCCAACTGAAGTAGCCTTATATTTTTATTGAAAGATCCCTTACTTGCCGGTTACCTACTTTAATTTTCCTTTTCTACTTCTTTTCCCCCAAGAACCATCAGGACTCCTTTGGGACCTCTGTAAACAGCGCAGTTTTTTTTTTAATCTCTGGACTAAGTATTCTCAGACATATATTTAATCCCTGATGAAAGGATCCACAAATTCAAATAATTTGGGGGTATTAGGAGGGCTTGGATAAAATCTACACACACACACACACACACACATACACACACACACACAAATCCCAGCACCCCCTCAGGGCTTGCAATTCTAAACTTAAAGGTTGAATGGTGGGTTTTGCAGGAGCCCTCTGCTAATTTACACTAATGAGTGTCAATTATAGCATTCTGCAAATTGTCCAATTGGCAAACAAAGCTGTAATACAACCCGGGCGGCTAGAGCGTCTCTGCACCGGCAGTAGGAGCCACATTTGACTCCAGCCCTATTGATCTCCACACTTTAGTGCTGGGGAGAAGGTGGGCTCCTGGCCTGCCCTCTGGGGATTCCTTTGTGGTTGCCTGGGATTAAGGTGAATATGCGGGTGTTTTGAGAAGAGAATGCTGGTGGGGGAGGGTACACTTCCAGGAGTGGAGGTGGTGCCAGAGGGCAGAGCTGGGAGCTGGAAGTTGGAGCCTTATTTCATCCCTCCCGCATCGAGTAGAAAGGGTTTGGGTTTTTTCCCCCCTTGGGGTGCTCTTTGCAAAGAATAGCTAGACACTAAGGTATGGTACCTCAAGCTGAAAAATTATCTCCTGTGATTACTCCCTTGATCTTGGGATACCTGAGGCTGGGGGGAAGGTGGGGGCGGGGGGTGGGGAGTCGCTGCTTTTCATTTTCCTACCACCCCCACCCCCACCCCATTCTGCAGATTAGCCTTCTGGTGCAATGGGAGCGCCCACCCAGGGCTCACAATGCTGCCCAAGGAGGTTTCAGCCAGCCCTGGCTTATCCCATCTGCATGACCGCTAGGATAACAACCCAGGCACATTTGCATCCCTAGGCTAGGCAGGGTAACATTTTGCTTTGTTCTCTTTCCCTCTTCCAGGAAAACCTGTCAGCTTGAGCTACAGATGTCCCTGCCGATTCTTCGAGAGCCACGTGGCCAGAGCCAATGTCAGACATCTCAAAATCCTCAGCACTCCCAACTGCGCCCTCCAGATTGTGTAAGTCTGAACACGAAGGATGCGCATCTAAAGAGCTAGTAATGCCTCACACACAAACCTGTTTCAGGGCATTGACACATGCAGAGTGTGCAGCCATGGCCTTGGCATAATTAGAGGCAGCTGTTTGTTTTGCCAGAGTTGTGTCCTACGAAGCAGGAATTTCAAAGCCACTCTTTCCCCCTGTGTCCTGGTCCAAGTCTCTTCTTCTCAAGCACAGGAAATGGTAGCCCAGCTGGGTGCCTCTGCATTTAGGCTTCATCAAAGTTTCTCTGGAGTCCAGTAAGTTCACCAGCCCTTTGCTAGTCCCAGTTCTATCTACTCTGCCAATTTTGAAACTTTGGTACTTGAGATAAATCCTTGATCAGAGAACAGAAACCCAAATTCAGTTGAAATCATTTTTCATTTGAGTAAATCTCAGTTCGTTCAACTCAATGGCATTTTCTCAAACACAACACACAAGCTGTTTTTTTTTTTTCTGCTGGTGTTGATGGGAGCTGGTAGCAGTTGATTTCCAATTCGCGTGGGAAGCTAAATGAAGTGAAAGCATCCCTACATGCTGCAAGAGACTGGATGAGGTGCCGGAAGAAAGCCACACGCAGCGGCAGGCCTGTGTCTGCCCTAACACACAGCTAGCATCGTCATGGTCATATGTCAGCACTGGGGAGGGAGTCTGTGGGTCTCCCCTGAGAACTCACCTTGGAAAGATCCCAATACTAACAATAGGAGGGAGCTCCGCAGTCACAATGAAAGCTGCCAGTGGAGACTCATCCCCACACCAGCTGTTTTCCTCCAGAGTTCCTTGTTGTCTTCCTAGCCTTTGCTCCCTTGAATGCATTTGTGCATTTAAGTCACTGTACGATAAATGCTTCTTGCCATTTAGTTTTAATATAGCAAAGTACTATTTCTCCTTGGCAAGAGTCATCTATAAGATGCAGAATTCAGCCAGAACGGGCCTGCTTTCCAGTACAAATTATGCTGGTTTGCTAGCTTGGAAAGAAGCCAAATATAAATCTGGGTAAATAAAATTCGTAAGTGGCAGTATCCAGATTGGGACTTGGTCTGCCTTTCTCTGAGCCACACCACTGCAGGTACAGTCACTTGACAGACTGCCTGCTTGCCTGCTGACTCTGGTCTGGTGCATGGTGAGTATCCCTGGTCATCAGCTGGCCTTGGTTCTCTTCAGAGACCCTTGGGTGGCAGGTAGGAAAGTCTGCCTCTCCCTCACTGTCCCCTTCCCTAACCCCAGCCCCATTCTCCAGAATGTTGAAGTATATCTTTGTGGGTCTTTTCAAGGCTCACTCCAAAGTCAGCTTGGCATGTCCTGTTAAGTTGGTTCATCCAACTAAAATTCTGCCCCTGACACTCCTTTTATAATGTTTTTATTCCCAAGTCTTGCAGATAAACCCCTCACTTTGGCCCTTACATCTAATTCTTGAGCACACTGTCACCCCCTTCTCTTCTCCCCCTCTGTGTACTTTTACTCCTTTGGTTGGTTTGTGCTAATTATCAGCTCCTCACTTCACTTCCTGGTTGTTTGTTTTGATGTTCAGTGTTTGGGCCACACCTAGTAGGTCTCACTCCTGGCTCTGTGCTCAGGGTTCATTCCTGGTGGTGCTTAGAGGACTATCTTGGTGCTAGGGGTTGAAACTAGGTCTGGTGCATGCAAGAGAACCACCTTGCCCGCTATACTCTCACTCCGACCCGCCCTGGTAATTTATCCTTCAAAGCCAACTCAGATCCTCCCTCCCTGAGCCCCCCAGACACTCACACCTTCTTATTTCTCAAACCTGGGCCTGCCAGATATAGGCCCCAGGTCCAGGCTCTGGTACAGGTAATATGTTGACGGCACAGAGCTTAAGCCATGCCTCCTGCGGGTCAGCTGCCAAGGGTCTCCTCTTTTCCTCCTGCAGGGCAAAGCTGAAGAGCAACAACAGACAAGTGTGCATCGATCCCAAACTGAAGTGGATTCAGGAATACCTGGATAAAGCTTTAAACAAGTAAGCACAACAGCCGCAAAGGACTTTCCACTAGCTCCGCTTGAGGAAAGCTAGAACCATATGAGAGGTGGAAGGCGAAGTTGTGGGGGGAGGAAGGCCTGAGTGGGGTGGCCCGGGTGTGTCTTTGGGTAGCACGCTGACCTGCCAGTGGGCTGCGGTTTGCCCACCATGTAGACCACTGCATTTATAGCCTATGGTACGATATTACAGCTTGTATTCCTCTGTGCCCTGGACCCTTGCATATATTGACTGTTTTAGAACTGGGGTTTTTCTAAGACCTGGTGTTATCCCAACCGTGTCTCCCATCAGTCAGTTTCCTCATGAGCATCATAATCACCATCATTCTCATCTTCCTTATAAAATCAATAAGTACTTCAAGATCTGTATTTGGTTTGTTTTGTAGCTTCTCCTCTTCTCCCTCTGGGCATCTGAGCACAGTTAGATAATGGCCAAGCATGGAGCTCAAAATAAACAAACAGAACAGTTGCCCTCCTCTAGACCTCTGAGACTGGGGGGAAGGCTGGGGACCACGATCTGGAAGAGTGGCCCAGGATGACTCTCAGATACTGACCCGTGCTGGGCAGGACCCTCATTGCTGCCCCTTTCAAGTTCTGATTGGATGTGGGGCTCCCTGTAAAAGCCTTTGGGGACTGTGCACAGAGACCCGCCCTGGTCCTTCCCTACTGCCCCCTGAGCCCAAGAGCATGCTGACATCTCACTCCTGCTTCTCTTTTCTGTAAGCACCTGCATCCTCCAGGGAGGAGAGCGATGGCTGGCTGGGGCTCCCACCATGCAGCCCTCTCCTCCCCCTGCTCTATCTCCGACCCCCCACCCCCTTTCCTTTGGCTCAGGCCCTCTGTGAGATCCTTCTCTGGCCTCCTCCAGACTGGGGCTGGCCCTCCCTGGAGGGGGTGAGATCAAGTCTCTACCTTCCCACAAAAGACAAGTCTTTGCAGAATCTGATGCGAGATTTAATCTGAGTGCTTGCTTTGAGGGAATTTGGTTTCTGTGATTGCCTCTGAAGCCTATGTATGCCACAGAGGCTCTCCAAACTCTGAGGTTTTTGAAATCAGAAGTGAAAAAAAAAAAAGGATAAACAAGCCTCTTGCAGCTAACCCCTTCTCTGAAGCCTCAACCTGGTTTCACATTTCAATGAGAAATGTTGGCAAGATGAACTTTCCATGCATAATGGTGATCCACAGATGGGCCTGATGGTATTTGTAACTTTTTGCAAGGCATTTTTTATATATATTTTTTGTGCACATTTTAAAATGTTTCGTTAGAAAAAAATGTATTCAGAATATATTTATAGTCAAACAACTCATATATTTGAAGTGGAGCCATATGAATGTCAGTAGGTTACAATTTTCTATTAAGCTACTGGCAATTTGTAAAGAAATATAAATGATATATAAATGTGATTTCAGCTTTTTAATGTTAGTCACAGTGTATTTTTTCACTTGTATTAAAAATGTATCAAATGTGACATTATATGCACTAGCAATAAAATGCTAATTGTTTCATGGTATAAACCTCCTACTGGAATTGGGGATTTATTTACCTGAAATAAAATCCATGAATTGTCAGCTCTGGAGCTCACATAAATTTCTGGAGTTTCTGAAGATTCAATGGCCAATTTGTCAAGTGCCTTAGATTGCTCCTAACAAGTTCATGTGTGAGCACATGGGCCTTCCTTAGGAGCAGATGAAATCTGCATTCAAGTTTTTGCACCTTTTTCCCCCCCCAGACTCAATGGAAGTGGTGGGGCTAGTTTTCTGAATAATAATATTTGACCCACTAATTTTTCTTCCCCTTTCTTCTCCCAAGTTCTCTTAACATCCTCCCATGTAATCTGTGGAGACGCAACCCTTGTAATATCCAGCTATTACATTTTCCCGTGTAAAAACCCTATAATTCCAGGCCATGGTTAATATACAGCTTTCTCAAGAACAGGTGGTCTTATTCCCATAAATCATTAAATACCATTCAGCTTGAATCATTTTACTATGACAGTCATGAGCCAGTCGCTTTAATAAAATCCTGCTAACCAGCTCTCTTCCTCGTTCTTCAGAACAATCCCAGTCATTATTGGAGGGTCTCCATAAGCCCCCAGAAAAGAGGAGATATGGTTGGCCCACCTTCTTTCTCCTCTCTTGGGTGGCTTTTGGAACCTTGGAATCCCCAGTCCCCGAAGTGGTTTTTCTGTTTTGAAAGGCAGAGATGCTTTGGATGAAGGGCACGGTTCAACTCTGCCTTGGGAAGCACGAAAACCTGAGGACAGTGGGTTGGGGAGAAAAGAAAGAAAGTTTAGCCCAGCCGGGCTTATCTACACACCCTGTTAGGTGGGAACCTCTTGTCCTGATGGGAACCAGGGCCTAGCCAACAAATTGGCACTTGCTGTAACCAGTTGGCTGGTGCCATGGAAACCTGGCTCACATTTTTTAATGGATCAGGAACAGTCTTGTCTGATGGACATCACTTTGCCCAAGGGGCCTCCAGGCCCGAGGCTGAGGACAGAGTTAACTATTGCGGAGGCTGAGACAGACACGTGTTCATTTCAACATTATTAATGGTTCTACTGATTCTGTCTAAGGGGGCGCAGAGAAGAAAAAGTGGGGAAAAGAGAAAAGATAGGAAAAAAGAAGCGACAGAAGAAGAGAAAGGCTGCTCAGAAAAGGAAAATCTAGTTCCCTGCCACCTCCAGATGGACCGCAGTACCTTCCGCTCTCGCCTATGCCGGCGCTTTGTAAATTCGCTCTCACCTTCCTCCAGGGCCAACCTGCGGCCTACTGGGGGGCCACTCAGACTTCTATGGGGGCAGCACGTTGTCACCCCATTGGGCCACACTGGCTCCTGTATTTATGTGCTTTCTTAAAGGTCCTTCCTGGCCTGCTAAGTGATGAAGTAGGTAGTTGACAGAGACTGGGATAGGGGTCCATGTGCACAGGACTCTATCAGAATGACCCCTTGGTCTTCTGCATCCCTCCAGCCCCTACCCCACCCTCCACTCTGCGTTCACTTTCTTAGAGGCCCTAATGATTCCTGAGCTCACCCAGCTCCAGACTCCAGCAGTTCACTTTTCCATCCAAGACTAGGATGAGTGGCCTCCTGGCTGGCACAGGCCAGTTGTCTTGCCTGACACAGACAGTCTTCAGCAGTCCGGGGCCTGTGTCTGCTGCCCTTTCATCTCCTGGTGCTCGTGGCTCTTCCATCATGGATTCCCCAGGGTAGAGTGGGCTGTGGGCTGTGGCTGGGCCACTCACCAGTGACTCCTCTTGGTGCGGTGGCTCCCTGCCACTCCCGTGGGGTGAGACTTCTGCAGCCCCCTCTTCCTGGTGCTGTGTCAGCTGCTTTACCTCAAGTAAGGGTGCATTTCTGTAGACCTTGTGGGATGAGAATGTGGATATGGAAATACTTCTCAGGGAGCTTTCTCACCAGACAATCCAGTTGGTAGCTTTTGTCACCAAGAGCTGTACATGGAGATATTGTGTGAAGGATCTGCAGCTCCGGGAACTCCTCTGTTAACTTCACCCCACTTGGGCCTGAGATTCTTCATGTCCCTGTGTGTTGAAGTTCCAGGGGGGAATGCAGCTGCCTCTAGCCTCATTCATGGGAACTATGTACTTGAACTGATGTGGTTGAAGTTCTTCCTCCTCCTCCTTCCCCAATCTGTGTCTGAGATGTCTTGCCAAAAGTCTAATTTAGAACACAAGAAAGGAAAACATGGGGAAGCAAGGCTCTGCTTTCTATCACATTTTGAGCATCTGAACTCTCTTCCCCAACCCCTATCCCATATCAATATGCACCCTGGACCCTTGTCCCTGATTCCATTATGCAGAAGGATGACATGGTTGAAGGATGGAGAAGATGGATTTCAGGAGGAGAACCCAAGTCTTCCGTGTGTCAGATTCAGGGGCTCAAAGCCCAGAGTTCTCCTGTGTTAACAAGTTCCTTGGTGATCACAGCTACGCCCTTGACCTCCCTGGAGAAGGGTTCCCCCTTGGCAGAGCAGACAAAGACTTTTACTTCCTACTGGTGGCCCTTTCATCTGGCTAAGTCTCCCAGATATCCCCTCTGCCAGATAACACCAAAGGACAGCTCCAGGATAGGATAGATGCCTACTTCCTCCTGCCCACTCTACCTCTCAAGGGGACCCTGCATTTTGACTGGGGCAACACCTTGGAGGTCACTCCTGTTTCCCTGACTCTTTGTACCCCTGAGCCTGGAGATGGTCCTTCCCAGTGGTAGGGAGAGCTATTTACCTCATAGTAGCAGTCGGTCAACTATTGCCCTGAGATAATGAATTACTTCTTATAGTCCTCAGGGAGATCTCCCCTCCCTATCATCCCAGATGAGCCCCCCTCCACTCATCTAGGGGGTCTGGAGCTACAGGTGCAGAGTGTCTCCACCTCCCATTTGAGAAAGGTCAAGAAACTCCAGTCCTGTCCTTCCACGGGTCTCTTGCCCTGGGTCCTCACTGTGTCTGCTGAGCAGGCAAGCCCAACCCTGCTGAAGATTGGGCCACTGAAGACTGGGTCACCTTGAAGAACCAGAGGAATACATCTCCATTCTGATGTGGGGAGAAACTCGGCAGGCATCAGGAATCTACTGCCAGGTGAGCAGCACGCCTGTGCTGCTTGCGGTCCTTGAACCCAGCCCACGGGCCATTCTGAGAGGCCCCAGGGTGGGTGAGTATTGGTGGTAGGTTGAGCAAGTGATTGGTGGTGCCAGTATTCAACAGGAGCCAGCTATCTAGCTCAGAGTGTGTCTATCTGGGGTATGCTGGGGCAGGGTAGTCATTGGTCCTACCATCTGTGAGACCAAGGCTACGCACATCATTCTGTCCTGTGTAACCCATGTGCCATGTGTCTGTGTACCCTCGTGGCCTCCTATGTCTGGCCCTTGCTTGCTGCATCCTTCCATCTTCACTCGCCATCTTCCACCAGGCCTTTGCTTCAGCCCCACCTGCTCTCACACCCTCCCCTGCTCAGGTCCTTCAAGGAATGCTTGTCCCACTATGGCAGCAATTTGGAAGACAGGCATGGAAGCCCTGCTGGAGCGGGGCCCCTCCTCTCAAACATGTGGCCTGGCCGCTGATGGAACTCTCCTTAATGGTATCTCCCTCTGTTCTTGTTAACAGGAGGTTCAAGATGTGAGAGGCGCAGGTTGGGTCAGACGCCTGAGGAACCCTTACAGTAGGAGCTCTGGTCTGAAAACAGTGTTAGGAAAGGCCTTGGGGGGCTCCCCCACATCCAGTCAGGCCCCCCACACATGTCCAAGGACTTTGGTTTGCACGTTTTGCCTTCTTATCACCATTTAATTTTGTAGCAAGATATATGGTGTTTATTTTTCATTTAGTTTGATTATCCAATGTCACTGGTGACAGATAGGAACTTAGTTATTTTACTTGCTTTATTATAATATCTTTCCCGTGGAATCCCTGATCTCCTCCAGCTTCCTGAGTTTTATATCTCTGAGCTGCTCAGGCTGGGACCTCAGACTGAGGGAACCTGGCCCACATTACCTGGGATGGAGAATTATCAGGAAGTGTCAGAACCCGTCAGCCTGGGCAAACCCTGGGGATGGCTGCTCTGTGGAACAAGGGGTGAGAGAGGCGATGATCTAGAAGGCCATGAAGGGTCCGCACCCTCCCTCCAAGTAAAAACAGCGAGATCTGTCCCTTAGGTGAGCACCTTAGAGCTTTCCTGAGCTAGGACCAGCAAAAGCATGAGGCCAGACTAGAGTGCCATAGAGACACAGCCCTCATCCCAGCTCTTCTTCACATCCCATCACGTTCTCACATCATTCTCTCTTGTCATCCATCATCATGTGTCTCCACGACTGTCTCCATGACCCTGGATCAGGACTCTCTCAAGACCAAAGCTTTAACTTAACCTGGCACCAAGAAGCACATCAAAGTGTGTCATGTTACAGAGTTTTGAAAACACTGTGTGTCTGTGTCTTGTTTGGAATATTGTATGTTGTCCATCCTGTGTTTTCATTCGCAGCCACTTTCCCTAAAGCATGCACTGTGAGTTCCTTGTATGTAAAGGCTGAGAGTGAGGAAAGACCTCTCAGGCTTTTTACCATGTATCTTATTAAGGCTGTGAGTCAAGCCTTAGTTTGCCTCCTGATTACAGAGCCATTATGGATCAATGAAGCCCAAGGGAATTCAGTTGGAGCAATATTCACCTCTAAGGTCACCAAAATTTCTGTAGTCAATATTTTAGATCCATAGATTTATCTTCACTGTGTCAACCCCAGCATCATTTTAGAAATAGCATGAAAATAAAATTGTCAACTTTAATTTAGTTTTGCAAGCCCTATCCATGAAATAATCAATCCTGGATAGTTAATTCTTGGGATATTTAATTGAGATGTTTCTTCCAAATTAAAATCTGAAACTTCATCTGTTTTTTTCATTTGATAATCTGTTATCTGCAATTGTGCCTTGAATGTTTTTCTGTTGCCTTTCTGTTCTTGTGCTTCCAGAACATTCTTATTAAAAAAAAAAGAGAGAGAGAGTAGGTTAAAAACCCTGGCCTTTACAAACAAGAACAGTTTGTAAAGTTACTTAAGTTGTTTAAAATGTTCAGTTTTTTTTTTAAGATGAGCCCTTAAGATTTTAACTTTTGGTTTTCAGTTGGACTCTATCGTTTTCTTCTTTTGATTCAAGATACCAGGCAAAATAATTTAAATTAAAATGGAATAAAGAGCAAACAGGGAAGCATCAATTCACCAGACATTGTCACATGTGAGAAAAATATAGTAAAATAATATTACTTAAAGGGTTTTGTTTCTTCAGATTTAATAATCTTGTAGAATTACAGAACCTAGTTTAGGCTTTTCAATAAGCATTCCTTTAGATTTAATCTTCATGGTAGGAACCAAATAAAGGCAAATTTATCAGAAGAAACATTTCAACATTCCAAAACCAGCTGTTTTATATTGATAAAAATAGAGCCTGGAGGTACCTTTATTGATTATGAGGGATACAGATCTGGTTTCAAATTTCTGTGTTGAAATCATCCAGTCATTCTAATATTCTAAATTACACATGGGATATTAAATATTTAGTGTTATCTTCCCATTAATCCAAAGTACATAAAAATCTCATGGAAAATTTGAAAATATTTTCTGTTCAAATCCATGAACTAGCGCCATCAGATCTTTTACTCTAGGAAAATAAGCATGTCTCTAAATCTTGATTACATCTAAGTAAAAAAATCATTCTTATTTTTTTCTCTATAGGGTACCAGAGACTTTAGGGAAAATTATTTGTGTAACAATTCCTCTTCTGGCAAATTGCTCCTTAGGATCAACTACCCAGCTCAGGCAAATATGCATTCAAATAGGCCATTTGCAAAGGAAAAGGTTGCCCATCCCCCACTCTGCTTTCAAATTACAGATCAAGTGCCTGGGTTGATTAGGGGTCACCCCACTGTTCTCCCATTCTGCTGACATTCCCTTGGGCTTCCTGTAACCAGAACCTCCAGAAAGAACCTGCAGAATCTCCTTTGCTGCCAGCCTTTGCATTTGGACCCTGTCTGTGGAGGGGGCTACCTGGTCTCTCAGGCATGCTGTGTGTTGGAATCTGAATCTGTGCCTTGTGTTGTTTGCACTGTTCTTTGTCTTGTGCCTGCCAGGTACTGAGACCCCAGCGAGGAGGCACAGCAGAGGCCCTCTTCTCCTTTCCTCTAGAAGAGGTTTTACATGGAGCTGAAGGCCTGTAATAGCAAAAGGTTCCAACCTTATGTAAAGTTCAGTTTCTAAGCCTTTCATTGGATCCGACTTTTTTCTTCCGTGGTGCCATTTTCTGACCACTGGTGTTTTCAACACAGTTCCTCCTGGGAGCGCATCATCTTTTCCAGGTGCGGTAACCCTTATGCAGCCGAATGAGAGATGTGGGGTCTATTCTTTCTACCCACCCACTTGGAGGGATTCCTATTTTGGGAAATTGCTCCCCGGAAACCTCCAGATTGCCTGCCCATGCAGACCCCTGGCATTGCCTTATCAAAACGAAAAGAAAACAAAACAGAGGAAATTTGCTATTCTGCAGCCTCGCTGGATGCTCAGTCTCTAGCAGTGATGGGTTCAGTGTTAAATGTGATTAATACTGTATTTTGTATTGTTTAAATTGCATCTCCCAGATAATGTGAAAATGGTCCAGGAGAAGGCAGCTTCCTGTATGCAGTGTGCTTTTAAAAAAATAAAAAAAATAAAAAATAACAATTCCTTTTAAGAAACTATTTCTACTTTGAAGTCATACCAATGAAAGATGTATATGCACTTATAATTTTCCTAATAAAGACATGTATTCAAATATAAAAGTCAATGGTTTGATGTTTAGTGTTACCGTTTGGCATTTTCCAAACTTTCTTTTTCTCTCTCCAACAGAGCACGCAGGGGTTGTGTAATCCTAGCTTCAGTGGTTAGTGGAAAACAAGCCATTGTAATCACACTAATCATAGGCAAGAACTCTAGGGGTATACTTGCCTTTCCTTGTCACCTGATCCTAGGGCACTTCTTTTTTTCTCTGAAAGTTCCTTGGTTTTCCTGGAATTTTATCTTAAAGACTTCTATAAGGTTGATTGTTGCAAGGGCTGATGTACTTGCCTCACTATTTTTTTTTTTAAGAACCATCTTTTATTCTTTTTTTTTTTTTTTTGCCTCACTATTCTTAAGAAGGAAACCTCCATTCTGATCTTCTTGGGCTTAGTGGCACACAGATGCCCTGAACCTGTTGGCTTTATCTAATATCCAGCATCTTATGCATTTTCTATCCTCCTGTGAAGAGACCCGCCTAGAAACCAGATGCTGCTTCTCTTAATGACTGCCAGATAGCCCTATCCTGTGAAAAACTGAGTGGGGTTGAACCCAACACAGAATCCTGTGCACACAGAAAACAATTCACCATGCTCACCACCATACTCTCTCCTCCATAGTCAACCAGACTGGAAACAAGAGGCCAGCACAGAAGTCCTGACTTCTGAGTCTACATGGCTTGTTTTCCAGGCCCTCTTGCCTGCTGATGCAGAAGTGACCATGTCACCCCTGGGCGCAGAACCTGCTAGGTTATTTATAGGGTGGCCAAGATACAGTTGCTAGGTTGCAGAAAGACCAGAAGCAAAAAGAAAGATGGGGGAGGTCATGGCATGCAGCAGTGTGGTGTCCTGGGACAAGCGTGGGTGTGAAGATTAGCAGGCCTGTGCTTGAACTTGCCCTACGTTGATTATGGGGGGATAGCCAAACCACCAGTGGATTAGCAGACCACTGCTTCTCTCTGCTCTCCCTATTATTGGAGACACATCATTTGCTTTGAGTGTCAGTCTCCCCAGCTGTAAAAACAAAGCTCTGTCTCATCATAAAAAATCTGTGAGGATTAGACTCATAGTGTGTTTGTAGAAAACGTCTTGTTCCCTCTGCACCCACTGCTCCATAGAGAGTAAAGAGCAGTAGTCAGGGACTGGAGCAATAGCACAGCGGGTAGGGAGTTTGCCTTGCACGCGGCCGACTTGGGTTTGATTTTCAGCATCCTATATGGTCCCCTGAGCACAGTCAGGGGTAATTCCTGAGTGCAGAGCCAGGAGTAACCCTTGTGCATCACCGGGTGTGACACCCAAGAAGGAAAAAAAAAAGCAGTAATCAGAGTCATCATATCTGCATCTACTTAAAACCTCAACCAAGTTTCCACACAATAGGAGTTATAAGTGACCTTGGCAGTTGAACCTACTTGGGGCAGGTTTCCTGAGTGTTTGTGTAGTCTTGGTTCCAGCACATTATACCTTTAGCCCAAGAATTGACCACCTCTGGGGTAATTCCTCAGACTAATATTGAATCTTTACAATGAAGTCACATTTTTTTTTAACAAGTTTGTGACTCAAGGATTTTTGTGACTCATTCAATTCATTTAGTCAGCTGACATCAGCTGTGCTGTCAGCCCAGAACTTGCAAGTACAGACATGGAGTTGAGGCAGATGGCTTGACCCCCAGTCATGGACCCTGCAGTTAGGAGCCACCAGCTTGCGGGTGGCTCAACAACTCAGAATTAGAAGTGTGAACAAGATTCACCAGAATTAGAAGTGTGAACAAGATTCACCTAAGTGTAACAGAAGCTCAGAACCTAACTCCCAGTTCAAATGTCTACATATTCTGACACTTAAATATATGTCCACAATTCAACCACTTTCTAGTACCACCATCTTGGTAAAATGAATACCCACCTACCACTTTGGATCATTGTACTAGGCCCTAGCTGGGTCATTCTCATGCTGGTAAGTGACCTCTCGTTAGCAGCAAGAATGAATGCCACTGGTCACGAGTTGCCCCCCATGAGCGGCTCTCTGGCACGGCCATAGCTCCAGAGGCAAAAGGACTTAATCCAGAGTCTGGCAGCTTGCAGCAGAAAAGTGAATGGACTATGTATTAAACTACAGCACCATGCCTTCGCCTTCCCCCTCCCCTCCCCACCTGCAGCAAGGTGGCCACCGCCTCAGAGCTTCTGGGAAGGCCAGGTGTGGGTCGGCAGTAACGGGGCAACTGCAGTCTATGGGAACGGGGATGGTACTGGTTCATCCTTCACACCCTACGGAGGTCACGAATTGCCCCCCCAAGAGCAGCTCTCCTGCATGGCCATAACACCCTAAGCACAGAAACCAATCTCGTAATTATCTGGCTCTTGGCAGAAACCCCACCAGACTTAACTAGTAGAATATCAGAAATCCAAAATCGTGCTGCCGCTATCATGGCTGTCCGACATCATATGGTTTTCATAACTAGCTATAGAAAACAAATTATTTCACAATGCCTTTTCAGCAGTTCTGATTGTTGTGGGGGGGGGGGAAATTCTAAACAATAATGGTGCATCTTTTGTCAAAATAGTGAATGTAATCAAAGTAGAGAGTTTAGTAGAAATCATCTGCCTCACAGGTATGGGGAGGGGTGGGAGGGGGGTATATTGGGGTTCTTGGTGGTGAAAAATAAGTACTGGTGAAGGGAAAGATGTTTGATCATTGCATGACCTAGTCTTAATCTTGAAAACTTTGTAACTTTTCCCACAGTGATTCAATAAATAAATATAACAAAAAATTAATTATTACAATTTTCAAAACAGAATAAATGCCACTAGGCTGATCTGAAGACAGACTCCTATGCTGATCATATCATCCCTTCTCAAATCCTTCAGTATCTCAAAGGTTTGCACCCACTGCTCCCTGGAACCTCGTTCACTACAACTTTCTCCCTGGTCCAGTTATACAACTCTCTTTTTTGGTACAATTTAGGCCATCCCTGGCAGTTGTTATTTGTATTAAGGTGCTCACCACCTAGTTCCTAAATGTATACCATGTATTTTCTTCTTCCTTTAGTTCACTTTATGCATTCATAGAAATCATCTGCCCTACCCCTAGATTCCTGTTCTTCCCCCCTCCCCCCCCCCCATTCCTCAGCACCACCTGGAATATTTACTTGTTTATTGTCTATTTCCTCACATCAGACTATTAATAACATGCAGGAAGCTATTTAGAGTGATTTGCTCACTAGTTATTATTTGTGGTTGGTAAACAGGTGATAGTAGACAAACATTTTTGAATGAACAATCAGTTGAAGATAAGCACATTGGAATCTTTTCTCTCTAAAATCAAGATAGCAATATTCAGCTAACAAGGTTATGCATTTTCTTATTTTGGTCTACTCAAAGTCACACTAGTAAATCATTATTTAGATTCAGTCCATCTTACTTCAATATTTACATACCAGTAATTACAAATACTGGCTCTTCTTTAAAACAGTGATATTTGGCATGGAGCGATAGCACAGCGGTAGGGCCTTTGCCTTGCATGCAGCCAACATGGCTGACCCGAGTTCGATTCCTCTGCCCCTCTTGGAGAGCCCGGCAAGCTACCGAGAGTATCTCGCCCGCACAGCAGAGCCTGGCAAGCTCCCCGTGACATATTCGATATGCCAAACATAGTAACAACAAAGTCTCCAATGGAGACGTTACTGGGCCCGCTCGAGCAAATTGATGATCAGCGGGAGGGCCTTTACCTTTACCTTACCCTCCTAGATTACCCACAAGAAAAAAAACATGATTCCGCTTCTCCAGAAGTACCTTGGTCTAAGTTCTTCTCTTATCACACAAATCACAAATCATCCTGTTATTCGTCGATTGCAGGCCCCAGTAAGGTCTCCTTCATCCTAGCCCTAAGATTATATTCAAGGCTCTTTAGGAGAATGAGACCCATCATTGTTACTGGTATTTGGCATATTGGGTACGCCACGGGGAGTTTGCCAGACTCTGCCTGCAAATATTCCCTGTACAGACCATGGGGTAAGTTATAGCCACACCAGAGAGTTCCTGTTGCCTGTGCACATTCTGAGGGTGAGATTGCTGATACTTCAGCACAGGACGGGCCTGACTGGGGGCAGTGGATGGATGACCAGACTTAAACCCCAGCCAGGGCCCTAGAGGAGTATGATTCCAGACATACCACCATGTAGAAAAAAATAAAAACAAGAGGATCAGCTACTGAAGCCAAGGCCATGTACTTCCACAAATGGACACATCTGGGAAGGGTCAGAGTGGTAATTCTGACCTGGTTCTGACTCCCTATATAAGCCCTTAGTCAACCAGATCTCCTGACTTCTAAGGTTCTCTCTGCCTTTCCCACAGCCATGCTCCAATGTAGGCCTCAGTCCACTCTGAATGCTGCTAGGCAGACCTGAAGACATATGGTCCTAGCCAGAATTAGAGGCTGGCCATCCCTCAGGGAAGAAGATGAGTTTGGGGTCAAAGGTTTGGGGAGGGTTGTTGGCAGTGGTGACTGTTTAGTTTTCCCAGGCAGCCGTCAGGTTCCTCACTGCAGCTGGAAAAGTTGCTCAGGAGAAGTAATGACTGGCCCCTGCTCAGTCTGGAAGGCACCAGATGTGTTCACCTTGTCCTGGCCTCTTCCCAGGAATTTTCCTGGCCATGATACAACTGGCCCAAGTCACATGGGCTTGTGGGCTGTGAGAAAGCAACAGTTCTGGAAATTCCTATGCTTGGGGTCAGGTGGCTCTCTGTTGGCCACTATGGGAACTCCTCAGTGATTTGTTGAATCTTGGCATCTGGGAATAAAACCTGCCAGTGACCAGCTCTGTCCAGTTCTTCCTCTGAAAGAGCACCTGCCCAACCAGTTATGTGCACCCCCCTGCACGAGCACCCAAGGGGAACCAAGACTAATGCATTCATTGCATTTCCTTGCATAGGCACAGGGCAGAGTTTCCAGTCGGGGAAAAATCAACCTGTTCAGGCATTTATTATCCAGGTGGTGGCCTGTGTC